TGATTATCTTTAAAAATAAAATGGATATCTTCTCTGCGAAATTCTCCAGCCTTTCACTAAAAAAAAATTTCATTTAATAAAATTCGTTTTAGCTGGCTGATAAATACTATCAGCAAGGGAAACCAGCATCGTTCGAGCAAACATCGGGAGATGTTGACGTATCGGAAACCGTTGTATTACCGGTGCCGGATCGCAAATTGAAAGGTGATCGGTTGGATTTCACGAGGAAATGGCTTGATGGCGATATCAAGTCGTGGGCTGCAGGACAGCCGAAACCGGACTTGATTCTTGGTGGATTAGAAGAAGTATAAATTTTTTTTTCTGTACAACATGCTAAAAGACATGCTCAGTGGGTATTAGTTCTTACGCTGGTTATGGATGGATTGAAAATCGCAGCTGCGCTTCACTAGGCAGATCTGATCTGTACAATGATTATGGCTGCCTTCTCTTAGGAAGACCGGTGCTACGTGCTGGAAGGATTTCTGAATTAGCGTGAAACAAGTGCGTTTGGTTTTCTGTGAGGGGGAATAAAGTGGCGCAAGGGAAGCGGTATTTGGGAATGAATATCTGTACTGGCAGATGGAAAGGGGGTTGTTTTCCGTTAGTATGATTTCGCGAACTGTCCGAGCAACCATTTTCTATCCTGCCTGCAAACTTTTACACAGCACCGAGCAGACAGGATCTGCGGTCCTGCAGACTTCGCTCATTCTTTATGCGGACAATATAAATGACAAAATACGTTTTGCCTTTAAGAGATATTCAGTGTTGTGAATATTTTTGTTGAAAATTCTAAACTTTTTCACAGGAACCCGATTTGGATGAACGTTCACTGGGCAGTTGTTCGGCAGAAGTAGCTGCAATCAATTCGGCTGTACGAAAAAAGAAGAAAACACAGAACATGCCCGATCTCATTCAGAATGCCGCTAGTTCTACAGCTAAATATGTTAGGCAAGCAAAAATTCGATTCATCACACTGAAGTAATAACAGAAACAAATCATTGGCGACGCGCACTGGGGGGGCCCGCAGGATCATGCGTTTTTGCAGTGCTTCTTGCTGTAGTAAGATCACGCGAAATTCCGCTAGCTAAGAACCTCTGACATACTGGTCTTCGAATTTCGGGAAGTTAATTGTCCATGCTATATTTGGACAGGGAACATTCCCTTGAAATCCCAGGTTCCCAGCTTTCCCAGTTCCCGCATTACCCAAATTCTAGCCAGAAAATTTCGTGGAGCCGTACGTGGTAACCACGCACGACTGGGACTGAATTTGATAAATTTAAGTAGTAGATGAGCTAGGAAAATTTTCTGAAAGTTTCAGCCTCCCAGCTTCTCTGATTCCGTAGTTATCCATTTTCCCGTCAAAAAATTTCATGAGTCCGTACGTGATGAACACGCATAGCGAGGGGCTAACTTTGATAAGTTCAAGTTGTAGATGAACTGGGAACATTTGTTGAAAGTTTCAGCCCCCCAGCTTTCTTGGTTCCTCAGCTAGCGATTCTTGCGCCAGGAACCCTCATGGGGCCGTACGCGGGAAATTCGCACACCTGGGAGCTGAATTTAAAATCTTTGAGTTCTGTATGGACGGGAAACATAATTCCAAAATCTCGGCTTTCCCTCTTTTCTAGTTCCCAAGTTGGCGATTTTCCCGCCGAAACTTTGAGAAGCTCGCACGCGAGGCCTAAACGTGCGTAACGATTGGTACCGCAGTCCTGCGTGGCACTTGGCCGGGGATCCCAATCGCAAAATTTGGCGCCGGAGCTTGTTTGGGTGTGGAGCTGAAATACCCGGACAGACGTACACACACCCACATGCGCACACACACACACATACACACACACGCACACGCACACCGGGGTCGTCACAATATGCTTTTCGTATTTGCATCTATGCAAAAACGCATAAAAATGTGACGGATTAAAAAAAACGTTTGCGCAAAAATGCTGGTTTGCTTTGCACACAGCTGGGGAGGAAATAACGGAAGGGGGAATGATGCAGCCTTCCCTTTTCCGGGTCAGTATGGTATATTGAAATATATTTTTTTCTTGCTTGTATTTTTTAAAAATAACATTTTTCATCTTGTATTTTTTTTAAAATAACATTCATATTGAAATATATTTTTTTCTTGCTGATAAGTAACATTTTTCCTTATCAAGTCATTAATATTTTTTTAAAAACGAAAATGTTAAGAAATATAACTTTCAAAAAGATGAAAATTTCTCAGGTGCTGGTCTCAAAATGTTACAACCAGCTGTTTGCATCTCTGGCTAGAAAACTGCTTTTTCTGTAGGCGAAGTGTGGATGAGACTTGTAAAGGTTGGCTTAGATTTTCGTGAGGTACGGTCATGTCTTAGTTTATCTGTGCGATTTACACCAGCATGGCAGTTTAACACTCTCGCATATCACCCCACGAATGCATTTAACTCGCCTAAAACTGGGAAGAAGTATTTTTGCTATGCAACAAAGGTATTAATTATGACATTTATAAAGGTCATTTGACTCCACATCAAGTCGCCTTGGTCATTTGAACCCACGTCAAGTCGCTGCTGAAGATAACCTCGGCTTTGAATGTCATGGAGGCCTCAAACCGGCCTATAGCTTCATCCGTTGCCAGCAGCCGTTGTTCTACACCTGGATACTTATAGAAGTCGGAACCGCCTAGCGTTGGTAGTCTAACTACATTGGCTTCCACTCTTGCTCCAACACTTCGTTCGTGGGGGAAGTAATGGATCTCCGCGACATATATAAAATTGTAATTAAAAACTGGATGAAAAGGAATGCTTCTTAAAGCAGTAGAAAGCATTCTATGCAGCATATCAATGGCATGAAAGCAATAGGGTTTAAAATCTGGTGTCGTCGGTTGGAGGTATCATTTCTGCCATGATTATGGAAACACCTAGAAGTTAAAATTATAAAGCAGTCCGTGGTATTGATGACGAAAATGAGTATCACGATTATCATTGTTGTTGTGGGTCCCTTCGCGCTTGTAGCTCTTACTTGAACTAAGTTTTGTTGCAGGCGTCCAGGTGCTCATCAAATGGACAGGCGCAAAAGTAGCAGTGGCAGCAGTCATTTCACTGCACAGCCGGCAGTTGGCCCGATCAAACCCCAGCCGATGAAGCCGCAAGCCTTATATCCGCCGTTTCCATGTAGCAGTAGCAGCACAAGCAATCTCACTAACTTCAATAATTTTCCGAGACCATTCCGGGACGATAATGTTTGGTATTTACTTATGATATCTTAGTTTCAGTCAAGCCTGACTATTTCCAGTAAGTGAATACATGTTAGCATCGTCGAAGGCTGTTGCACTAGTGTTGTGTAGGAGACTACCTTTATCACTGGTGTCTAATTATCTGCTGAGAAAAGCACAGCAGAATAAT